TAATATTATTGGTAGAGGATAGCAAAATAGTGTTATCTCCATTGCAACTAAGTTTTTTTGCAACATGTGCTAGTCTTGCTCCTAAAAGAAATAGATCTTACTTAATTAGAAATGTATATTCTAGCTTGTACTTGACTCCACCAGGACTTTCCCAAAGGGAAATACAATGGGCTTCCAAATCCTGGTTTTAGTGGGAAATGAAATCGGCATTGTGTTGTTGTCGCCTCAATATTCAATTGCAACCCAAACACAACGTTTGCTTGCCATGTTTCTTTGCAATATGCATTTGATTAGACCATTTATTCATGCACCTCCTAGTTTCGATTTTCCCCTTCCTCAATATCTTTTGTGTATTAAGAAAGACTTTGTAATTTTAAACGGATTAAATTCGCGTAATGTGATAGTTGATATGTTAATTAACAGTTAATTATGATAATTGATGTTGTATATGTATAAATAAAAGATTTATTTACATCAATGCCCCCTGAAACTACGGTCAAATCTCACTTTGTCCTCCCAAACTTAAAGTGGCTCACTTACCCCGCTTGACCGTGGTTTGGTGACCCACTTTGCCCCCTGTTGTCAACTTCATCCAAAAGTTAGTTAACTATGATGATGTGGCAAGGGTGTTTGTGTAATTTTGCACACATGGTTCATTATTCACCAATATGCTAAATTGTAGTAATGGTCCCTCGAATAAGACCAAACTTTACTTTTCGTCCCTCATACTACTAAATTATTACAGTGGTACTTTAATTATGCCTCCACTTTCCGAAATCGTCCTTTCTGTCATCTCAGTCAACTTTTTCGTTAAAAATGATGACGTGGCATGGACAAATCCTACTTGGCATGGGCACAAATGTAATTTCACACAACAAATTTATAAGAAAATATCTCATCTCTGCGATTTCCTTCTTCCCCCACTTCCCCCAGCCATTTTCTTCTCTCACTCTCTCTCTCTCTCTCTCTCTCTCTCGAGCTTCACCTTCATCCTTCAGACCTATTCACAAAACACAAGATCAAGATCAAGATCAAAACCACTTTTTTTTTTCTTTTTCTTTTTTTTAATTCAAAGCAATTTGATGGAATGGTTATCACCTTGAGCCAAGCGTGAAGAATGGACGACCAATGCTACATTTTCTGTGACTTGGTGGAGACTAGGAACGTTTAAGACATGCACGGCTTTGAGAGCCATTTGCCCTTGCAAATTTGCAAATTCGTAAACTTGCAAAATTGGAAGCAAGCTTTGGAATTCAAGAAATGAGGACGGTGAGAAAATTGGGTTATGCTTCTCTGTTTTGATCGGATCCAGTGTTATGGGTTTGTGGGTGCTGGGGTTGCAGGCTATGGTAGAGGGTGGTTATGAGATAAGTTTGAGGGTTGGAGCTTGCAGGTGGTAGTCATAGGGGAATGGGGATATCGTCAAGGGAAGTGGGAGAGAGAGAGAGAGAGAGAGATTTTTTTTTTTGAATTTCCCAATTTGCCCTTAATTTTGACAGAAAATTTAACTAAGTTGATGGAAAGACCAATGATGCAACATGAAAGCTAATTGAAACACCATCGTAACAATTTAGAAGCATGAAGGACGACAAGTAAAGTTACGTCTTAGTCGAGGGACCATTGCTACAATTTGGCCTTGATAAAAATATAATTAAATATTTTAATACATAAAAATAAAAATAAAAACATTAAAAAAACTACATTAAAAGAAAAGGCAAAAAGTTTAAAAATTGATAACACAGTCCACTCACCCCATCTTATGACCGCATCCCCCACTTCCCCATCTCCACCCTCTTCCCTATCCACATTCACCCAACAAACCCCTCAACCCACCCCCCACCCCAAGGGACGGACCCATTCCCAGGCTAACCTGGGCTATAGCCCAGGTGTCTTGATTTGTTTTAGCCTATAGCAATACTCCCAGCCTACCCAAGCAAACCCCACACACCCTCTTGCGCAGAAAACATCCCTTTGCTAATGCAAGGGGAGAAATAAAAAAACATGAAGAAAGAGCCAATCATCCCTGCTACACGCCAATCAACAATGCCCTTCAATGCTTAATTAAAGCAAACCAAATTAATCTTCAATTATTAATCTTCTTTTATTGTCTTAATTTGTTGATGTTGAAATTTGGGGACTTTTTAGAGTTTATGAAGTATCAATTAGGGATTTACAATTTTTTATTTAAAAAAATTATATGTAATTTTTTTTTTCGGCTTGGCCAAAACATTTGATTGTACAGATTTTGTAATTAAAAATAAACAAATGACAGTAGGTCAGCCCCTTATAGTCCCCTAAAATTCCAATATATTTTAAATTGTAATCATTCATGTGTTTACGCCATAAAACTTTAATCCTAAAAATTTCTACATTTTTGGAAAGAAAAAAATAGCTTCTACATTTGTAATTGTTTAATTTGTCTGAGTTTATTTCTTTTGTTGGTTAGTGTGAGTTTCTGTTTTGGTTAATTAATATAGGTTTCGTGTTTTTAAAAAAATTGGAAATTTGTACACATCGATCCCATTGATTATGCTCCTCCCTTCAAGTCTTGTACGTAAGGTAAATCTAGCCCACCCTAATTTAAAATCCTGGGTCCGTCCCTGCTGATCATATACATATATAAGCAAATATAATTTTTTTTTGTGCCCTTCTCAATCGAGGAGCCCAGGCTACTGACGATCATGAAGCCCAAGCTCGAGATTTCCCAAAACTAGAAGAGACTACTCCGAGCTAATGAGGAGTTTCTTTAGGAATTAATATTAGAATTTTGTTCAATTTGTCTTTGGTTATTTGTTTGGTCGAGATCTGGATGTGTTTGATTTTGGGTTGGAATAGTGGATTTTGAATGTTGGTGGAAAGCACTGGTTCGTAGTTTGAGTGGTTGATTGGAAATAGGTAGCAAGAATTGAAGAAAGTATGACAATTGAAGGTGCCTTTCATGGTTTTATCGGTGTGGGTGGTGGTTGTGGTG